GCTAAGAGACTATCCCTCCATGGGAAATTGGCTACCTAAGTCTGTTTGTACTCCAGGGATAAATCCTGGTTCTATTGCCAGAGGCCCCATAGACTGCCTATTGCTCCTAGTCACATCAGCATTCAGGGGTCTGGATCAGTCATATGCTGGTTTCTCAGCTATCAGACTGAGGTCCATGAGCTCCTACTTGCTCAGGTCAGCTGTTTCTGTGGGTCTTCCCAGCAATACTTGACTCCTTTGTTCATCACTTCTCCCTCTATGAAACTGGATTACAGGAGATTGGCTCATTGCTTAGCTGTGGATCTCTGCTTCTGCTTCCATCAGCTACAGGATGAAGGCTCTAGGATGGACTGTAAGGTATTCATCATTCTCATTATAGGGGAAGAAAATTAAGGTAGCCTCTCCACTACTGCTTAGATTCCTAGTTGGAGTCATCCTTGTGGATCTCTGTACAATTCCCTAGCGGCAGATTTCTCCTTTAACCTATAGTGGCTCCCTATATTGATATGTCTCTTTTCTTGCTCTTGTCTATTTCTCTCCACACTCAATCTTCCTGATCCCTCATTTCTTCTTCCCCCCTCCTCTTCTCCCCTTCTCTTTCTCCAATCTCCTTCCCCTCCCCTGTGCTTCCAATTTTTTCAGGGGCTCCTGTCTTTTTCCCCTTCACTGGGGACTATGCATGTCTCTCCAAGGTCCTCCTTGTTTCCTAGCTTCTCTGGAGGTGTGGTTTGTAGGCTGGTAATCTTTTGCTTTATGTCTACTATCCATATATGAGTGAGTACATAGCATGTTTGTCTTTTTGTGACTGGGTTACCTCACTTAGGATGGTTTCTTTTAGTTCCATCCATTTGCCTGCAAATTTCAAGATTCCATTGTTTTTTTTTTCCATTGAGTAGTACATCATTGTGCAGATGTACCACATTTTCTGTATCCATTCTTCAGTTGAGGGGCATCTAGGTTGCTTCCAGGCTCTGCCTATTACAAATAGTGCTTCTATGAACATAGATGAAAAGATGTTCTGGTTGTATGAATGTGTATCCTTTGAGTATATGCCTAAGAGTGAAATTGTTAGATCTTGAGGTAGACTGGTTCCCATTTTTCTGAGAAAACCCCATATTGATTTCCAAAGTGGCTGTACAAGTTTGCACTCCCACCAGAAATGGAGAAGCATTCCCCTTTCTCCACATCCTCTCCAGCATAAACTGTCATTATTGTTTTTGATTTTAGCCATTCTGAAAGGTATAAGATGCTCTCTCAGAGTTGTTTTGATTTGTATTTCCATGATGACAAAGGATCTTAAGAAATTTCTAAAGTGTCTTTCATCTATTTTAGCTTCCTGTATTGAGAATTCTTTGTTTAGTTCTGTACCTCATTTTTCAATTGAATTATTGGGTGTTTTAGTGACTAACTTCTTGAGTTCTTTGTATACTTTGGAAATAAGGCCTCTGTCAAATGTGGGGTTGGTGAATATTTTTTTCCCATTCTGTGGGTGGTCTTTTTGTCTTGTTGACTGTGTCTTTTGCCTTACAGAAGCTTCTCAGTTTCAGGAGGTCCCATTTATTAATTGTCAATATCAGAGTCTGTGCTACTGGCACTATGTTAGGGAAGTGGACTCCTGTGTTAATTGTTTGAAGGGTACCTCCCACTTTCTTTTCTAAGAGGTTCACTGTGACAGCTAGATTTATGTTGAGGTCTTTGATCCATTTGTATTTAAGTTTTGTGCATGCTGATAGATATGGATCTATCTGCAATCTTCTAGACGTCTACATCCAATTATGCCATCACCATTTGTAGAAGATGGTTTCATTTTTCCATTGTATAGTTTTAGGTTCTTTGTCAAAAATCAGGTGTTCATAGGTGTTTGGGTTAATATCAGGGTCTTCAATTCAATTTCATTGGTCTACCTGTCTGTTCTTGTTCCAATATCAAGCTGTTTTCATTACTATAGCTCTATAGTAGAGCTTGAAGTCAGGGATGGTGATGCCTCTAGAAGTTCCTTTATTGTACAGGGATGTTTTGGCTATGCTGAGTTTTTTGTTTTTCCATATAAAGTTGAATATTGTCCTTTCAAGGTCTGTGAAGAATTGTGCTGGGATTTTGATGGTGATATCATTGAATCTATAGATTGCTTTTGGCCAGACTGCCATTGTCAGAACACCTGAAAGCTCTAGGACAAAAAAAAGCAAACTCACCATGGAGGAGTAGATGCCAGGAAATAATCAAATTGAGAGCTGAAATCAATAAAGTAGAAACAAAGAACACAATACAAAGAATCAATAAGACAAAGAGTTTGTTCTTTGAGAAACTCAACAAGATAGACAAACCTTTATCCAACCTAACCAAGAAGCAGAGAGAGAATATGAAAATTAGCAAAATCAGAAATGAAAATGGAGGCATAACAACAGACACTGAGGAAATCTAGACTATCATCAGGTCATATTTTGAGAACCTGTACTCCACAAAATTGGAAAATTTACGGAAATGGACATTTTTCTGGATAGATATCACTTACCAAAATTAAATCAAGAACAGATAAGCAATTTAAATAGACCTAAAACCCCTAATGAATTAGAAGCAGTCATCAAAAGTCTCCCAACCAGAAAAGCCCAGGCCAGACAGCTTCAGTGCAGAATTCTACCAGAAATTCAAAGAAGAGCTAATACTCCTCAAATTGTTCCACACAATAGAAGCAGAAGGATCACTACCAAACTCCTTTTAAGAGGATACAATTACCTTGGTTCCAAACCCACAAAAAGATGCAATTAAGATAGAGAACTACAGACCAATCTCCCTTATAGACAAAAATACTAAATAAAGTACTGCCAAATCAAATCCAAGAACATATCAGAAAAATCATCCACCATGATCAAGTAGGCTTCATCCCAGCGATGCAGGGATGATTCAACATACAAAAACCCATCAATGTAATCCACCACATAAAGAAATTGAAAAAGAAAAACCTCATGATCATTTCACTAGATGTGGAAAAAGCCTTTTAACATTCTTCATGACAATGGTCTTGGCGATATCAGAGATAGTAGGAACATACCTAAACATAATAAAGGCAATATACAGCAAATCAACAGCCAACATCAAAATAAATGGACAGAAACTCAATAGTTACCTCTGGGTTACCTCTAAAATCAGGAACAAGACAAGGCTGTCCACTCTCTCCATACATCTTCAATATTGTACTTGAAATTCTAGCTAGAGTAATAAGACAAAAAAAAAGAGTCTCTTCAATATTGTACTTGAAATTCTAGCTAGAGTAATAAGACAAAAAAAAAAAAAAAAGGGGATACAAATTGGAAAAGAAGAAGTCAAACTTTCACTATTTCCCCCCTCCCCCTCCCTCTTCAAAATTGTACTGTAAATTTTAGCTAAAGTAATAAAAAAAAAAAAAAAAAAAAAGAGAGAGAGATCAAGGGGATACAAATTGGAAAGGAAGAAGTCAAACTTTCACTATTTGCAGATGATATGATAGTTTACATAAGTGACCAAAAAACTCTACAAGGGAGTTCCTATAGCTGATAAACACTTTCAGCAAAGTGGCAGAATACAAGATTAACTAAAAGAAATCAGTAGCCCTACTGTATTACAGACAATAAAGGGGCTGAGAAAGAAATCAGAGAAACATCACCCTTCACAATAGCCACGAACAACATAAAATATTTTGTAGTAACTCTAACCAAACAGGTGAAAGACCTGTATGACAAAAACTTTGAGTCATTAAAGAGATTAAAGAAGATACCAGAAAATGAAAAGATCTCCCATGATCTTGGATAGGTAGGATCAACATAGTAAAAATGGCAATCTTATCACATATTGGTTTTGAAAGACAGGGTTTCTCTGTGTACCCCTGGCTGTCCTGGAACTTGCTCTGTAGGCCAGCTGGCCTGGAACTATACTGCTTTTTTTTTTCTTGGCTTACTATTTTGGCTTTTGACTTACAGAATAATGTTAAGTAAAAGTGTATTTTTTGCCATTATCAAGGAAGAGCATCTTGTAATTCTCCATTCAATATAGTAATTGTAGAGTTTTCATGGGTGTCATTTTCTATATTAAGAGCATACATTTCTATTCCAGCTTGTGTGAATTTTATACAAGTGCTGAAAATTTTCAAATTACGTTCCAACATGAATTAACGTACCATAATATTTGTCTCATGTATTATATTAATTTGCTGAATTATACTAATTGAATTTTCAGTGTAATCTCCTGCTGCATTCTTGAATTAAAACTAACTTCTTCATTCAATACTGTATTTATAAATATTGACGCATTTAAATTTTCAAAATGTTAGTAAGTTGTGTGCATATTTCTATGGGGAATGTTAGTATAAAAGGAGGGTTTTTTTTTGTTTGCTCCTTTTTTGTAAAGCTTCATATTATTTTGAAAACAGTTCTTTTATTGCTATAAACTGAAGTTCTTGGGTGGGGTCAGGGAGGCACACCTCTGTTAAAGACTCTACACCACTGAAACTTCATAATCTGGAAAGTAGAAATGTTATGGATGAAGAGACAAAATATCTTGGACTGTCTTTAACCCATTGTTAGCTACTCATTTTTACCTCTGTGTTTGACCTATCATCCTTCTGACTATCTTGTGAAACCTAACGCAAAGGCTAAAGATGCCATCAGAGAGCACCTAATAAAGCAAAGACCCCTTCACTTCTTTGTGCCCAGCCTTCACAATGCACCCAACAACATATTTATAAAAGTATCTTGATTCCTAGTTTTGTTGCTGTTGTGGTTATATCACAATAAAACCTCATAAATCTTTTATCACATTGGAACGTGGTAATTGAGGCCACCAGGTCTTGTGTTCCAGGGTCATAGCTACTCACACTTGGCCTGTAACAAATTATTTTACTCCTCTTGAGGCAAGAACTGAGTTTCACACTACATTGCCAAGGTGAGGACATTTCCAGATAGCCTTCCATGGTTTGTTTAAATTGAATTCTATTGAGGCTGAATAATAATTTGAGGTGTATTTTCAAGGTGCAGCAGATGGTCTATCCTCGGGAACTCTCCATATGTAAGTATAGGAAAAATAGGTATTCTACAGTTGTTTGCTATAATGTCCTATTGATAATAATTTTGCCAAGTTGGATAGTGCTACTGCTCAAGATTTTTGTGTTAATTTTATACTTCTAAATTATTACTAATTTTATACTAATTCTATCTGTTATTATTTAGAAAGCATGGGTTTCCTTTATGAGTGAGTACATGCTGTGTTCATCTTTCTGTGTCTGGGTTACCTCACTCAACATGGTTTTTTCTAGTTCCATCCATCTGCCTGCAAATTTCACAATGTCATTGTTTTTTACTCCTGAGTAGTACTCCATTGTGTAAATGTACCACATTTTCTTTCTTTTTTGAGGGGGGTTTTTTTTTTTTTTTTTTTTTTTTGCTTTATTTTGTGTTCTTTTTTTTTCAACTTTTTTTTATTTGGTTTTTTTTTTTTTGCTTTATTTTGTGTTCTTTTTTTTTCAACTTTTTTTTTATTTGGATTAGAAAAAGGATTTATTTACATGACAATCCCAGTTCCCTTCTCCCACCCATCTTCCCCTACCACCACCCCCCAACTAAAATCCTATCTATCATATATCCTTTCTGCTAACCCTGGATGATGAGGCCTTCCATAGGATGTCATCAGTATCTATTGTATCCTTTGGAATAGGTCCTAGGCCCACCCCCGTGTGTGTTGGCTCAGTGAGTATTCCTCTATATGGAATGGGCTCCCAAATTCCACACCTATGCTAGGGATAAGTACTGAACTTCTATAAGAGTTTCCATAGATTTCCGAGGTTTCCTCACAGAAACCCATGTTCCTGGCATCTGGATCAGTCCCATGCTGGTATTCCAGCTATCAGTCTGGGGAGCAAGAGTTCCCCAATGTTCAGTTAAGCTGTTTCTGTGGGTTTCACCAGCCTGGTTGGACCCCTTTGCTCATCACTCATCCTTCTCTGAATCTGGGTTTCAGTTCAGTTCAGTGATTAGTTGTGGGTGTCTGCTTCTATTTCCACCAGCTGCTGGATGAAGGCTATAGGATGGCATATAAGTTAGTTATCAATCTCATTATCAGGGGAGGGCATTTAAGGTAGTCTCTCCTCTGTTGCTTAGATTGTTAGCTAGTGTCATCTTTGTAGATCTCCAGACATTTCCCTAATGCCTGATCTCTCTGTAAACCAAAAATGTCTCCCTCTATTATGATATCTTCATTCTTGTTATCATCTATTCATGCCTTGACTCAACCTTTATGCTCCCTCATGTATTTTTCCATTAAAGGGCATCTAGGTTGTTTCCAGGGTCTGGCTATTACAAATAATGCTGATATGGACATAATTGAGCAAACATCCTTCTGGTGTGAGTATGCATCCTTTGGGTATATGCCCAAGAGTGGTATTGCTGGGTCTTGAGGTAGATTGATTGCCAGTTTTCTGAGAATCCACCATACCCAGAAAGACAAAGATGGTATGTACTCACTCATAAGTGAATAGTAGACATAAAGCAAAGGATAACCAGCCTACAGTCTATAACCTCAGAGAAGCTAGGTAATAAGAAAGACCCTAAGAGAAAAATAGATGGATCCCCCTGGGAAGGAGAAATAGACAAGATATCCTGAAGGGGAGGGGGAAGTTGAAGAGTAGAGGGGGAGGGGAAGTGGAGGGGAGGGAAGGAGAACATGAGGGAACTGGGTGGTGGAGAGGGAGAGCAAGGAAAGACATATCTTGATAGAGAGAGCCATTTCAGAGTTAGCAAGACCCCAACTACGACTCTAAGCAGTAGTGAAGAGGGAGCATCAGATTGATGACTACCTTAATTGTTATCATAGAACCTTTATCTAGTAACTGATGGAAGCAGATGCAAATATCCACAGCTAAGCACAGGACCAAGCTCCTAGGGTCCATTTGAAAAGACAGCAGAGTGATAATATGAGCAAAGTGGTCATGGGGAAATCCACAGAAACAGCTGACCTGAGCTAATGGGAGCTCACTGACTCCTGACTGACAGCTGAGGAACCAACATAAGACTGAACTATGTCCTCTGAATGTGGGTGACATTTGTGTGGCTTGGCAGTTTATGAGGTCACTGGCAGTGGGACCAGGACTTACTCCAGGTGCATGAACTGACTTTTTGGAACCCTATGGAGAGATACCTTGCTCAGCCTAGATACAGGGAGGAGAGCCTTAGTTCTGCCTCAAGTATATGTGACAGACATTTTGACTCCTCATGGGAGGCCTCATCCTCTCAGGGGAGTGGATGGAGACTGGGCTCAGGGAAAGAAGGGGGAGCAGGAAGAGGGGAGGTAGGAGGAACTGGGATTGGTATGTAAAATTTTAAAAAATGATTGCTTTAAAAATAAATAAAAAATAACCTATCAGAAAAAAGTGTGAATTCCCATCTGTAATGTGAACCTATCTATTTCTTCTTTCTGTTTGATCAGTATTTGTTACCTGTATTTTGATGTGATATAGTGAGGTATTCTATACTAAGGGAATTTAATCTCTCAAAAATTTGTGGTTAATATCTTTATCTTCTGTCACATGTCTAAAATGATGATTCTCTTTGCTCTTGCTTCAAAATCTAGCCTGAACTGAATTATTTCTCATCATGTCCACTTTAATCACTGTGACCTAAATTTCCACTATCTCCCAGTTTCATTACTGCATGGTCTCCTATTGAGTTCTGGGATTCTGTCTTAGACAGTTCTTTGTTTAATTGCTATACAATGTATCAGATCCTGATATTCTCTGTTTAAAATACCCCACTCCATCACCATCTTCCATATAAAAAAAATCCAAGTTCTTACCAAGGATCTACAAATCCCCACAGGCTCTAGCCCCAGCTATTCTCTGGTGTGAGGCTTCTTAGTTGATCTCCTTTCTATCCAGAAATTTCTAGTCAGAAGTAACATCAGAACAGTCTCTAATTTCCCCAGACAATTGTTCAAATGCTATCCTATTTTGTTTATTATCTTTTCTCTTATTTATTTACATTTCATTTATTATAACTCAAATTAGTATCTATGTCATTTACTTTTTCTCCATTCTTTTTGTCTTTCCCACCATAATTCAAGGACTATGGATACTAAGAATTTGTTGTGTTTTCTGTACAATATGTAGCAGCTAGAGTGTCTTTTGGCATATAAGTATTTGATAAACATTCATTAAGTAAGCAATAATACTATTTTTCTTGTAGTATAATAGTTCTCTATTCCCTATAGAATCCTCTAGAGCTCTTTAAAAAATGCTATCAGGAGTACATATGACCCTTCAAGGGTATATAAAGTTATGAAGTCACGATTCTGATGTAACCCTGACATAACCTGGTATGTATAAGGATGAAATCAAACAACATCCATTTGAGGAGGGGGAAGGGAGCTGGGTACAGTAACAGAAACAATGATTTGACAGCAATTCTTTGTTGACACACATAAAAGACACATGCATATCCCCAGCAAAGGGGGGGCATTTGGTCACCAAGCGTTCTCATCACATTGGAGGGCTTTCTCTCTCTCTCTCTCTCTCTCTCTCTCTCTCTCTCTCTCTCTCTCTCTCTCTCTCTCTCTCTCTCTCTCTCTCTCCTCATTTTGCTTGGGTTTTCTTTCATTGATTATCAAGACTACCAGATTCAAAACGCTTTTCATGTACCCATGTTCTCTTTCCCCTAGGCTACTAAAATTGTCCATACCATGGTGGTGGAAAGATGGATCTACTGTTACAACAGGACACTGCCCTTGTAGAAGACATCATGAGTTTGGTCCCAGTACCTGCAATGGGCAGCTCACAACCACTGTGGTTCCAATCAAGATCACTTGCCATCTTCTGGACTTCTGAGAGAGCTGTACTCATCCATACACATATTCACACTCAGACACATACATATATTAATTTAAAATAAAATATATTTTAAAATGTGCTTGTCTGACTTAGTTAATGCTTCTACTGATATTAGAAACACCATGAACATAAGCAGTTTGGGGAGGAAAAAGTTTATTTCACTTCTAGTTCCACTCTGAAGTCTATCATCAAAGGAAGTCAGGGCAGGAACTCAAGACAGGTAATTTGACTCAGAAACCAGACGCTATGGGGGAGTGTTGCTTCCTACCTTGCTCTTCATAGCTTGTTCAGCCTGTTTTGGTTTTATTTTATTATTATTTTATTTTATTGCATACACATACCAGGCCTGGGCAAGCACTGCTCACAATGAGCTGAGCACTCCCATATCAACTTCTAATTAAGAAAATGCCTCATAAACTTGCCTAATGGCCAGTCTTACAGTGAGATTTTCTCCTTTATGTTTTCCTCTTCTCAAATAACACTAGCTTGTGTCAATTTGATTAAAAACAATACAACCAGGACATAATGCATATGATAACTACATAAAATTATTTTAGGGCAAATATGCTTTGTTCATGATCATATGCTTATTTTTTTCCTAAAAATGTGTTGTCTTTTCAGTGTCATAAAAAATGATTTCCGAATGTTCCTGGAAGTAATCTAAATTTTTTATGGTCTAAAGATAAAGGTAATGTTGATGTTTGCTGGAAAAAGAATAAAGAATGGCTAGTGAAATACCACAGTGGGCAAGAGCCAAGCCTGACAACCTGAATTCGATCCCATAACTGTACTTAGTGGAAGGAAAGAACTGACTCCCACAGACTGCCCTCTGACCTCCACAAGCATATGCTCTGACATGCATAGTGGGAGACCCCCAATAAATTTTATAAAACAGAAGAAAATATTGCTAATGAGATACATAAATAAGAAATTTTTAAAAGCAAAAAAAAAAAAACCCTGCTTTTTTGTAATGCTTTAATTGTCAGATTTATTCACTCAGTGGCTCAGAGATTATTTAGTCATAAACATATCTCCCAAATGCAATGATGGTAAGAATTGTGAGGACAGATTGGACATTAACTGGGCAGTGAATCAAAGCTCCATGGCCCTCTCTGAGTTCTTGAGCTCCCCTGCTGGGCTTACTTGAGAAGTCACAACAGGCACTATTTGACACTTCATGAAGGTCATTTTTGACAGGCAGGTATTGATTTGCTGACTTCTGGTCTTTTATTTTAATTCTTTTCTTTCTTCTGAATTGGGAGATGAAGATTCTTCTCTGTGCTTCAGACTTCCCCTCATTAGCTTCCTTAGGATTGCCAGTGAGGATTGTAAGGGCAGGGTGGGGAGGGGGGCTTTGAATGGCAACACTTCAGCACCCCCCCTGCCCGCCACATTTCTTTTCCTGAGCCATGAGGAATATTGTCACTTGGGCTTCTGGAGGATGGATTATTTTCTTGGCAGGTAGTGTGGCCCTGTGGAGACTCATTATGCTTTCTATTGGGGAGATCTAAAGCACACAGTTGAATGCTGTCATAAAGAAAGGAGTGGTTGCAGACTGATTCCTAATGGGGCTGCAAAGACTACAACTATTTTTTGATCTCTGAATTCCAAATGGGGCTTTTATAGTTGTCATATTATTGACTGCTCATTCCAGAACTGTGATTTGTCTCTGTTCTAAATCTTTTATGTGTCCAATATTATTCTGATGTTTAGCATTACATGAGCTGATCGCCTGGTTCTCTGTTGTGGAGTGTGTGTGTGTGTGTGTGTGTGTGTGTGTGTGTGTGTGTGTGTGTGTGTGTGTGTGTGTCTTTGCCTGTTGGTGTGTTTCAAAAAAGAGCTGTTCTTTTCAGTACCTGGTGTCTCCAGGTTAATCATTTATACATCAAATTTGGTTGTCTTTTCTGTTTATTTCACAATTACTTATAATATCCATTATTTTTCACCAACAGAAAACACTTTTATAAAAGAATTTTATTTATATTTATGTACTTTGTGTATGAATGTGTGTATGCATGCAAGCAAATAGGTGAGTGTATTTGCCTGCTGAGGTCAGAAACACCAGATTTTCCAGCAGCTGGAATTACAAGCAATTGTAATCTCAGCATGGGTCCTAGAAAGCTAACTAGGGTCTGAGGCAAGAGTAATGCATACTATTAACCGCTGATTTCTTTCTCTCACCCCGGGAAGTATAATTTGTGTGGTTACTTGGTTGAGTGAAATAGAAGAAAAATTTTCTTTTTTAAATTTAATTTTATTTCCATTTGTGAGTGTGTGAGAGTGTGTGTGTGTGTGTGTGTACATACGTGTCTGCAGAGGCCAGAAGAAGGTTTCAGGTCTTTGAAACTGGAGTTACAAGTGGCTATAAGTCTTCTGATGTTAATGTTAGGAATTAAACCTGGCTCTTCTTGAAGACCATTATATGCTTCTTACCTGAGTCACCTCTTTAGCCCTCAATGTCTTATTTTTTGTAGGAAGATGTCTATCAAATTTTGCCCAATGAGAGCTTGCATTCTGATTGGTGATTGGACTACACTGTTCTTTAAAATGAAATGTCTTTTTTTTTTTTTTTTTGAGACAGGGTTTCTCTGTGTAGCTTTGGAGCCTATCCTGGCACTCGCTCGGGACACCAGGCTGGCCTTGAACACACAGAGATCAGCCTGCCTCTGACTCCTGAGTGCTGGGATTAAAGGCGTGCGCCACCAACACCCAGCCTGAAATGTCTTTATCTAGATATGAAAGATGATAAAAATAACTGGACATTTAGTATCTAACACTTGGGTTTGCTTCTCAATAATAATTGTTTCCTGTTGTTTTAGAAAATATGATTCAAGGAGAAGAACTTTTATTCCTCTCATGAAATAAAACTTTCGTAAACTACTCACCTTTTCTCAGTTGCAAATCAGTGATGATGGATGTATTGAGAACATAGGGTCATGAGTGAGTGTTGTCAGCATGAGACATGATTTATCCCTGTACAGAAGACAGCATTTTAACAAAGAAGTTTTAAATTTGAAAATACTGCTTAGGAAAGAACTTTTAAAAATACTTAAAAATATTCTTCAGGATATTTTGTTCATTTGTATAGGTGGTAGTGGATATGCTGCATATCTCAATTTCTTCTTCCTTCTCATAAATAATTATTTTGTTCAAACTATTTTCTTAGTGCCTATTTTCCAGAGTTTGATGTTTGTTTATAGACATAAATATTAATTTGAATGCACTTAATAAGTTTAATCATGAGGAAAGAGAAGTTTTGTTTTTTTTTTTTTTTTGAGCAAGTGAGTAGAGCCAGTATGAAGAGAAAGTCTGTATTAGAGACAAAATACTAAAGCTATGCTGGAGGCATCATACCCATTTTGCAAAAATCTCCCTCCTTGGCTGTACCATCATTTTTGTAGGACTATCTGAATGACAAGCAACATCAAACTGTACAGTTGCATCATTTAAAGAGAAAAAAGATAATCCTATGAGAGATTTGAATATAATTTTCTAGATGATATAACAGTGATATACAATCTTAAATCTTTTTGAGTTACTTAGATATGTTGTGTATTAATTTATAATCCTTATCTATTTGCATTTATAGTTCTATGCAAAATCAACTCCACTTAATGCATTCACATACATTTCTTCTTGATTTTGAACAATCTTCATGATTATCATTTTTCAGTGAAGGCTGGTTTATTTCAGTAGTGGGTATACTTGTGTTTTTCTTATATGTAAAGCAATGTACGGAGTGAATGCCAATTAGCAGCTAAATCAATGATGCATCACTGCTGGCACAGAGACCCACCCAGGCAGAATTTTTAATGCTCAGTTGTCATGTAGAAGTGGGAATTTTCTCCAGTAATGACCTAAAACTACAAATAGCACATTCTTGTTCTTGCAAATCCCTGGTTGTAAATATTGCAACACAAGCTCAGATCATGTGAAGATCAAAGCATCTTCTACACAAAGTATTTCTGTGATCATTACAAACAAATGTAATGAAAAAGAATAACAGTAATGACATGCTTGAATATGTTTCACATTAGAATAAAGATAAAAATTTTGTCAACAAGTGAAACTCAATAATAATAGGCAGACTAATATTTGCCCTGAACCCATTTTCTCAAAACACAAAATGAAAAGGAGTTTTACATTAGTAACTATCTTCAATTATTTTGTTGACTTATTACAATTTAATAGCCAGAATTAGAATTATCATGTTCTTTGAACACATTTCCTTAAAATAGCGAATGAATGGGTGATTTACTATTAGTAAACATTTACTTACAAAAAATGTATGCTTTATACTGAATTCAGTAGTACTCCAAAATTAAAGGTTTCACATACTTTATTACAAAGTATAATATTGCCTTTATAAGCCTAAAATACTAACATCATCAGATTAATATTTAATATGAGAGCCATCTATCTGGTAGACATAATATGAAATATGATTTATTTTTGTTTTCATACTTGAGGATTTATTGTTACATATTCTTCCCCCTCAAAAAATGGTCTTTAGATCCTTATCTTTCAAAGCTAAATGTCTTCAATGTAAAATATTTTGAACATTAGACTCTATTTTGAGTATCAATGACCCCATTCTTTATTTAAGTTTTATATAATATTAGTGGAAAAAGAAGAGAAATGATTGCAATGAATAGTTTTGTTTACTGGTATAAAGTATTATTAAAGGCTTGTCTGGAAAATTAAGATCTTAGGGTAAGAATATGTAAATGGCTTTTTCTCCTCAGTGGGGCTGGATAATCTTAATTTAACAAGAATCTCAATGCAGGGGTAGCACTCAGCTCCCACAGATACTTTCATTTCTTTGCCAGAACTGAGTGATCAATATTAACTTTATAAGCAGGGCATGGCTCTTCTAATGGGCAAATGGTCAATGCACCTTATCTGCAGGTATGTGCATAAGAGAAGCTGCCATGTACACAACACATTCATTTAAAAACTGTTTCCTTACATACACAACAATGTTGATGATTCAGTTATGACCAAGGGAGCTCTGGTTTTGTCTTAAAAGT